CACTTCACTTTCTATAGGTCTGCCAACCTAGGAAACTGTAGCCTGGCTCCCTTCTCCGTCTCCACGAGGATTCGCACAGCCCTGAACTTCTTCCTTGTTACAGTGTGATATCGCGATATAGGAAGAAATACCTATCTTGGTTTTTATCCCCGGCTCCTGGCCAGAGCTCCTAAAACCTTTGTAATTTCCTAAGCAATAAGGGTGCCAGGAACATCTTTTGTTCTGATATTTGGTCTTTGACCTCAGTTCCTGACACAGAGGTCTAAATTCCTTGGAATTTTCTGGGTGATAGGAACGTCTTTTGTTCTAATGAAGTGACTCTTGGTGGGTTCCTGGATGGGAGCTGTTACCTGAAAGACCAAGCCATAATCAGAAGCTTGGAACTTTCAGCCCCCCTCTCCATCCTCTGGGGAGGAGAGAGGGGGTAGAGACTGAGTTAATCATGAATCACGCCTACTTGATGAAGCCTCCATAAAAATCCCTAAAATACAGGGTTTGGGGAGCTTTTAGACTGGTGAACACATCCAGTGTACTGGAAGTTGGTGCACCCCAATTCCACAGGGGTGAGCCATCACAGCAAATTATCAAACCTGAGGAGTGGGTCAGGAGAATTACCAATTTGTAGCTCAGTCAGACAGAAGTGTGGCTAACCTGGGGACCCACTATTTGCAATTGGCCTCTGAGTTGCAGGGTAGGAAGTCTTGTGGAACTGAGCCCTTAACCTGTGGAATCTGATGCTAACGCCAGGTAGATAGTATCAGAATTGAATGGTAGGACACCCAACTGGTGTTGGAAAATTGGTTGGTGTCAGAAGTATTGTGTGAGTAGAGAAAGAAACAAATTTTTTCTTTTATATGGTTTCACAAATAAGGCAGGAAACTGGTGCCTCTGAGGCCCATGGAGCCACCAATGGGAGGGGAGGGTGGCAGCCACCATGGGTCCCCACACCAGGTGAGCTCAGCCTCCTGGGGAATGGGTGATGCCCTGAAACACCCTTCAGGCCTCAACAGCTTCCTCGGGCAAGGGGAGTAGAATGGGACAAAGCTAATGTCCAAATCCCACAGGGAAGGCCAGCGGCCCCTCTGAGGCTCAGCTGCCTAAGGAAGCTCCAGCTTCTCCATTTCTCTTACTTGAGGTTGCTGGGATTTCCTGGGCATGAGGACTGGTGTAGAGCTTTGGGTGTAGAGCATCTCCCGTCCCCCACTCATCTGCCAGCACACGGACCAAAGTGAGCACAACCCTTGGGAATGAATATTTACTCCCTACAAGTAGTGCAGGGATATCAGAAATACCATTCCATAAGAAATAAATAAGATCCACACATGGTCAAAAAAAAAAAAGGAAATATCTTTCCACTGGAGAAATGAGTCAATTCCAAAATACGTGACTGAACATTTTACAGGTATCTCTGTCCCCATTAAAATGGGGCATAAGAACTTGGCAAGCGCAGCCATCTAAGACCTTCAGAACAGTATAGTCTGGAACTCAGGACCAGCAGCTCATCCCTCCTCCTGCCCACACACTTAGCAGAGAATCCCCATGTGATCCTACTGTCCACATATCCCCACATTCCCCACAGAAGTGCACCAAGAGAGAGCGAGCAGACACTTCACTGAGCTTTGGCAACGGGTGGCATGAATCTTTTTTGCATGCTCACTTGTCAGTTTTGTACTTGTGTCCTGAGACGTGCTTTCATAGCACACCACGGGGTAGCCAGCTTGGAGGGGAGAGAACTCAGCTTCCCACTACCTCTGATACAAGCTCCCAAGAGAGACCAGGACCGACGTGTTGGCTTAGGTCAGTTTCCAACACCAAGAAGAGAGGCCCCAGGCTTGCAAGGACGCTTTAGGCTTCAAGTGAACATGAGGACAGCCCTGGAGGAGGGGAGGCGGCTTTGAGGGTGACTTGGAACCCAAAGGCGTGTGTGTGTGTGTGTGTGTGTGTGTGTGTGTGTGTGTGTGTGTACTGATTCTACTGTATTTCCTGATTTTACTGTATTTCCTCCCAAATACCAGGAGGATTCACAACTTAAGACTTTATGGAAAAAAGGGTTGGGGGAAACCCATGTGATGAGAAAACTTATGAAAGCCCTTATTAATATTTATTACCCTCATGCAATAAAACAGCAGAGGCTCTCAGTGACATTTTACACCCTTTACTAAGGGGTTCTGTCCAATGTGTTTCCATATCCCACCCTTACACACTGTTTTGCTTTGCTTCAGACACCATGGATACCAAGCACAATTTTTCCAAGGCTCATGCTCCGTCCAGATGCTCAGTGCCTTATGGATTTACAATTTGGAGGGCCTCTATTGCAGCCCAGGGGTGCTCATGATTTGTATTACAGGACTCCATATTTTCACGTTATGGAAAAGGTACCGAGATGTAAGTTACACACTAGAATTTTGTATAAAGGGAACTTAAGGATTTCAGAGGTAGTGGAGTTGCTATCTGCAAACGTGCCAGGGTGGGCTGCTTTACACTTTCCTTCCTTCCCGGCATCTGGCTTCTCAGCACTCAAGAGGTATCACATCAACTCTTGCTCGCTCCAACTTGGAGCAGCTTCAAGTGACAAACACCAAAAATCACCAGGGGACGACGTTAACATGCAGATTTCTGGGCCAGATTTAGATCTCCTGAAAGAGAATCTGCATTTTAATGAGCTGGGCCCCAGGAGCCTGCATTTTAATAGATCAGGGCTAAGTAATCTAAATTTGACTCTTTTTTTAAATTGAGAAACATAATCGGAAGAATATATTCAACTGTGTGTGCAATTCAAATAGTAATGAAGCAAGCGTCCATGTGTAAACACTGCCCAGGTTAAGAAATAAAGCACTGATGGTCTTTGGACGCCCCCTAAGTGCCTCTCCCAACATTTGTATCCCCATCCCCAACCCCACACCTCTAGGCAAAAGCGCACTCCTGAGTTTTCAGATACTCCGCCCTCTGCCTGTCACTAGAGTAGTCCCCAAAGGAATACGTTCCAAGACCCCCGGTGGATGCCTGAAACTGCACATAGTACCAAACCCTATATATGCTACTTTTTTCCAATATATACATGCCTATGATAAAGTATAATTTATAAATTAGGCACAGTAAGAAATTAACAGTAACTAATAATAAAATAGAACAATTATAATGATACACTGTAATAAAAGTTATGTGAATATGGTCTCTCTCAAAATATCTTATTGTACTATACTCACCCTTCTTTTTGCAATGTGAGATGATAAAATGCCTACATGATGAGATGAAGTGAGGTGGGTGACATAGCATTACGTCATTATTAAACTACTAAACTTCTGACAATGTCAGGTGGAGATCATCTGCATCAGGTGATCTTGCATCATCGAGCCATGACAATGTCAATGGTGGGGTGTTAAGAGCAAACCATGTTGATGGTTTGGGAATCCCAGGTAGGGCAGCACGAGATTTCATCATGCTACTCAGAATGCAGCACAAGTTTAAATTTATGAATTATTTCTGGAATTTTCCATTAAAAATTCTTGGACTGCAGCTGACTACAGGGAACTGAAACCAGGAAAAGCAAAACTGCAGATAAAGAGGGACTACTGTATAGACTGTCGTTTATAAATGCATCCTAAACAGTATATTGTTTTGTCTATTTAAAAATTGTACAGAGGGTTTCCCTGGTGGCGCAGTGGTTGGGAGTCCGCCTGCCGATGCAGGGGACACGGGTTCGTGCCCTGGTCCGGGAGGATCCCACATGCCGCGGAGCGGCTGGGCCTGTGAGCCATGGCTGCTGAGCCTGCGCGTCCGGAGCCTGTGCTCCGCAACGGGAGAGGCCACAACGGTGAGAGGCTCGCATATGGCAAAAAAAAAAAAAAAAAAAATTGTACAGAAGTAGGCTTCCCTGGTGGCGCAGTGGTTGAGAGTCCGCCTGCCGATGCAGGGGACACGGGTTCGTGCCCCGGTCCGGGAAGATCCCACATGCCACAGAGCGGCTGGACCCGTGAGCCATGGCCACTGAGCCCGTGCGTGCGGAGCCTGTGCTCCGCAACGGGAGAGGCCACAACAGTGAGAGGCCCGCGTACTGCAAAAAAAAAAAAAAAAAATTGTACAGAAGTGGAATCATCTTTACTATATTGTGCCTTGCTGTTTTCACTGCATTATGGTTGTGTGGTTCCTCTTTTCTTGCACCTAGCTGTAATTTGCCCCTTTTTCATCACCGTATAGTATTCCACTGGGTGAAGATAATACAAATGATCTAATGTATCATTCACAGACAGACATTTCTTCAGCCCAGCTCTGAGGTAAGTTTCTTGTGTTTTATCATGAGGCTAATTTTGTTGAGGAGGAAACAGCGGGTCAAAGAAGTCACGTGATTTAAGAGCCTAGCACAGGAGTTAAACAGCCTGAGTTTGAAACCTGCTTCTACCACCACTGTGTGAGCCTGGGCACATTAATCCCTGTACCTTGGTTTTCTCATCAGTAAAATGACAATAATAGTTCTTGTTTCAGTGTTGTGATAATTCCGTAAAACAAATACATGTAAAGTAGTTAAAACCTGGCCTGGGGAAACTAAAAATAGAATTACCATATGACCCAGCAATCCCACTACTGGGCATACATCCAGAGAAAAACATAATTCAAAAAGACACATGCACCCCCACGTTCATTGCAGCACTATTTGTAACAGCCAGGTCATGGAAGCAACCTAAATGCCCATCGACAGACGAACGGATAAAGATGTGGTATATATATACAATGGAATATTACTCAGCCATAAAAAAGAATGAAATTGGGTTATTTGTAGAGACGTGGATGGACCGAGAGACTGTCATACAGAGTGAAGCAAGTCAGAAAGAGAAAAACAAATATCGTATATTAACGCATATATGCGGAGCCTAGAAAAATGGTACAGATGAACCGGTTTGCAAGGCAGAAATAGAGACACAGATGTAGAGAACAAACGTATGGACACCAAGGGGGGAAAGCGGGGGTGGTGGGGGGTGGTGTGATGAATTGGGAGATTGGGATTGACATGTATACACTGATGTGTATAAAATGGATGACTAACAAGAACCTGCTATATAAAAATAAATTAAAAAACAAAACAAACTTGGCCTGGCCCATTCAAATACTTTCAGTTCAGGAATGGGAACAGTTTGAATTTCCCATGAGCCTATGTTACTTTTATGATACATTAGTTAAACACAAATCTTCGCCCCACAGCTTTCTATCTTCAGCCTCAGGCCCTGAAGTTCAGCTAATGTGCAACCACGACGGGACAAACCAGGCAAGCCCTCGCTGCAGAGGCAGAGCTGAGTCTAGTCCTCCTGAGCAGCCAAGTCTGGCCTGGCCCAGCCTCCAGGCAGACATTATCTGACCCGTCAATGCCTCTACAAAAAGGATACAGCCACCACATAGGAAGCAGGGAGACGTCAGCACAAGGGAGGACAGGGATGGCATATGACTCCCATCAGGTGATCCTCACCTGTGTTCTACTCCTGCCACTCTGACAGGAGCCGGCCCGAGCCTCTCTGGGCTATAGTGTCCTCATCAGTAAAATGGAAGAAGGGAGGGCTCAGACAAGAAGGGCTCCTGACACTTGAGGCTTTTGGCTAAAGCTGCCAAGGATCTAGGGAAATCAGCTTGGGGGTTGTTCTCTGGCATACTTGCCTCCTTAAGAAATGCCCCGGGAGGGGGCTGGACTGGCACGATCAGTATTATTGGCTTGGTTGCAGGCAAAGCAATCAACGTGCTGGTAGCAAATAAGGGCCACAGTGGATCTGCTCTCCCCCAAGATGGGCCCTACTGAGAATGACTGCATGCCTGTCCCCTCAAGTTCATGCCAATTAACGAACACTCTCATTTGGAAGACAACGCCTCCTGCAACACACCGTGACTTCAGAGGAGCCGGGTAACGCAACTCTGCCTGCTGCAATTTCCTCAGTCTAAGGTCACTCTGGCTCCAGCCCCATGAAGGAGGAGGGCTCCAGCCCCTGCAGCCTGACCTTTCCTTCCTCCTTCCCTTGGCCTCATAATTAGTCGTCGTCATCTTCCTGGTGAGCTGGAAAGCTGAGGGCAGGGGCCATGCAGTCGTTGGTGCCACAATTCACATTGGCCTGGGTCCAGCTTAGATAATACATCCCATCACCCTCAACGCCCCCTCACTTCCTCTCGGATGGATATGTGAAGCATCTGGGAAGTCAACAGCTGCCGCCTTATACCCCAAAGAGGGTGGTGAGGTAATCCCCATACATAGTCTGACAAGTGCCGCGGGGTGAAAGGGGCTCTGTGTGGAGGAGAGTGCATTACTGTATTTCTCTGGACTTCCAGGAGCACTCCACTGATGTCCTGGCACCGGAGAGAGATGAAAAGTTAACCGGGCTTTCTCGCCTCCACAAAAGCATCTTTCATCCCACAACAGACTCCAGATTGGAGGGAAGATTTCACCACACAGTGGCCAGAGACAAGAAGCTCTGTTGAAGTCCCTGACCACCCAGCCCCACCCATTTCTGAGGACCCCTCTGTAACCCAGAAAGCTTGGGAGACAGACACACGGAGTCTAACAACAGGAATGCTAACGTGTTTCAGGATGGAGAAGCGGGCCAATATTCAGATGTGACTGGAGTTGGCCCTGAGAGAACAGGCTGTCACCTGGGCTGATGGGTGCTCTGCGATGCTGAACGATGGTGACTCTCCAAGGAGAGGGGCAGCATCCACGGCGAAGGCGGCTCCAGTGCAGCTGTTAGCAGGAAGAGGAAGGCAAAGTCGTCTTGACTGAACCCACCTAAGTGCCAGGTCCTGATGACTGCGAGGGGAAATGAGAACTCAGTAAGTGCCTAAGGCAGCAGTGGAGCACCTTTCCCTCCAGCCCTCCCACCACTGCAGCCCTGCCCTCCTCAGAGATTCGGTCATGCTTACCCAGAGCACACTCTGGAGGATAAGGATGCGGGAGAACAGTGCTCCTTGTCACTTAACTTCTCAGGAGGCAGCAACAGTAATGACGAATTCAGCACTGTGTTTTTACCTCTAGTCAAAGTCAAAACAGCCAGTGCCCACAATTCCAGCCTCATCCTGTGGGATGAAACCAAATCCAGAGGGAGTGTCGGGGAGAGCACAGTATCCAGGATGGCCTTTTGTTCTTTTTTGACTTTGAAATTCTTATCACATAAATATTACCTTTCAAAGAAATCGTCTATAGTACAAAAAAAGTACGTAAATGATACAACCATTCTCTCCAGAAGTAATCACTGTACAGTTCTTATGTGTCCTATGAGATCATCTAGGTGTATCCACATATGCTCTTATCCACCCCCAAATGGTTTTCCCTCCAGAAATATTACATACAGTAGAGTTGTATCATATAAGTGTTTAACTTTTGTAAATTTAACTATTTGTGCCAGGGTCATTTCACTAACCAAGCACATGCCCCAGAATAAGTGTGAGCAGGGAGAGTGGTGCAAGATTTCAGTTCTCTCAAGTGAGTCCAGTGTTTAAAGAAACATTTTTCCTTCAAGTCCCTAAATTCAAGGCAAGTACTTCATCTGGAGCTCGAATTGGGAGATGGTGATCTGTTCCAATGCTGAGGAACACTAGATGTGCTGATTGTTACAAAAGGGCAAGTGAGGCTCCAACAAGACACCTTCCTAAGGTGTTTAAGAGCAATCTGGAATATATGCCGTTTTGTCTAAAGCTCCACTTGGGACCCACCCCTCAGTAAGATGATTCTACTGGTGATACACTATTCAGTTTCTTTCCATTTAGTTTCTCTTGGAAGTTGTTCCAAATCAATATCTATAGATGTCTTGTTCTTCAAGTGCTTATTGTAAGCTATTTCACAGCATGAATGTATGGGATGTTCTTTGGAAAGAGTTCTATTTTCATACCATAAAGAAAGAGAAATGTCACCATTAAAAAAGACACAAACTAAGAACAAATTTACAAACCAAGAATATAACATTTTATTCATTTCTGGATTATGAGTATTACACAGCATATACATATATTTAGATAATATATAAAACAAAGAACAAACCATAGGAAGAAATATTGGTCTGAAATTGCCTTTACGGGACATCTTTAATTCTGTAAGTTCATGGTAAATGTGTCTCCCCACACACCGAGGCAGGCAGCAAGATAAACTCTGGCATTCATGTATCAAAGGACAGCTTATCCCCCACTGTACTTACAATGCACGGCACGGTCACTGGTAGCCACAACCAGGGACGCCAAGGAGTAGGTAAAAGAACCGCAGCACAGTGAACTAATATAAATATTTGTTTTTTGCATTGTCCTCCAGATAGTTTCCTTTTTAAACTAAGAGTCACATCCAGGGTCTATCCCTTGAGTGGCATTCCAGTTATTGCTGAAGGGGAAAGAAAAAAAAATAGAACAAAGGCATCAGTTTAAGTTATTAGAAAACAGACGGTCAGTGCCACTGACTCCCTACCTCTAGTGACACTCAAGGGCATGCTGGACTGTGGGGAGATGCATATGTGTCACCAGTGGGCAGGCATGTAAGCACCCATCGTCGTGTCAGAGGGGACAGATCAGCTGATAGTAATTTGGGGCTGATGAAGAGGTTCAGATGGAGATATTCTGCAAGGAAGGCCTGGGAGCAGGAAGCAGCAGGATGCCCCCCAGGAGAGACGGTATCACTTCATGGAGGTGAGACAGCAGTAACAGAACATTTCATGGGATCATTCCTGATTCAGTGCTGGTGGTGGAAGACCTAAGATCTTATGATGTAAAAATCCTCCATGCTCCATGTCAACACAGAGAGGCTCTGCAGCTGAACTTGTAGAACAGAGCACTTTCCAGGGACACAGCTTCTACAACTCACTGTCTGGCCTTCCTCTGAGGAAAGCTGGCTTACCTTTGCCTTATTCTGAACTGGGAGATACAGTTTGAACTCTGCTGGCAGTTCGTCTTCTGAGTAGAGTCTGTCTGAGAAGTAAACCCGTCGGATGCGACAGTTTGCATGGATCTGTGGATGCAAGACTTAAAATAAGTCTCAAAATATGATTGTCTTTCCTCTTTTCCTGATGTTCCTTGACCCCCCGCATGGTGCCGTCAAAGCTTCACCTCTGTGGCATCTCCTCAGCGTGGCTTAGGGGTAGATTTTGACAAGAGGGAGATTTTACTTGCTGTATTCTCCCACTGTATCTGAGCAGATTCCTGAGTAGGTCCTGGGCCTCTCTGAGGTGAAAGCCCCCTGGACAGTGACTTGGGAACTTTAGCCAGAAACCCACACTGTTCTGTCACCTGGGTCACAAGCCAGTGACAAACAGAGCCTAGACCCCTCTCCCATTTGGGGCTCCATCTGGAAAAGGAGCCAGTACCTGCACCCTGAGGGTCTCAATGTAATTTGTGCCATATGCCCGCCGAGTGAAGTCTGACAGGTTGAACTGAATCTGGTTCCAGCCGTCATCCAGCCGCATGGGCATGGTACAGATGAAGGGTTTGACCCTGGTGGTGCTCTGGTAGTTACTTGCCCGAAACCGCCGACGCACATTCTTGTCATCTAGTACCTATGAAATATAGAGAAGAATCACATTAACTCTATCTTGGAAGAAGCAAACAACCTTGATAAGACGAGGACTTGAAACTCCCACAGCCTGGTTTCCCAAGGCTGAGACCCAAGGGAGAATAAACAAACCAGATATAGGTCACACTGGATGCAGACGGCCCGGAAGTAGCTAGTTTATCTTGTCTGTTGCTTAGACAACACCAGCTGCTTATGACATATGACACATGCATCAGGCCCCCAGACCATAGCATGATTCCATAAACATTCTTCCCTTTGAAAAATTAAAAAAGCTAGACTTGAGACCAACAATATCCCAGTATTAAATAGTAACTTCCCAAATGGACGCTACTCTAACCCTCAAGCTTTGAACTCTTGTAGCTATTGATTAGATTTTCTAGATGCTTATTGCTTCTTTTAAAACTTGGCATTAAACTTTGATTGATAATACCAAAATAATAATGCCATAATAATAATGCCATAATAATAACGGTTGCGGGCTTCCCTGGTGGCGCAGTGGTAGAGAGTCCGCCTGCCGATGCAGGGGACACGGGTTTGTGCCCCGGTCCGGGAAGATCCCACATGCCGCGGAGCGGCTGGGCCTGTGAGCCATGGCCGCTTAGCCTGCGCGTCCGGAGCCTGTGCTCCGCAACGAGAGAGGCCACAACAGTGAGGCCCGCGTACCGCAAAAAAAAAAGAAAAAAAGGTTGCATCAAGTGTACAGCAGAGGCAGAAAAGAATACATACAAAAGGATAAAGATACTTTCCTGTGGCCACTTTTCTCCTATAAATTGACAGGACATCTCTTTGGTATAGCCAAGAGTGTAGAGATTCATGTGCACATACTTACCTGTACTTCAAAGGTAAAATATTTCTTCAGGTTTTTGATAATCATGACAAGGAAGGGAAGTTTAATTCCCAATGTTTTCTTTGGGTCTGCAGGACATGTGATATATGTGGTGCTGTAGAAAGAGGAAACACCAATAAACACACTACTTGCCTTTTCCTTTGTGGTATGCACAGCAATAACACTCAGTCCAAGAGGATAAATTGGAAGGCAGATCTAAAAGATCCAGATATGTCATCCAATGATCCCTCAACCCTTAAGTTAAGCTAATGTGTTAAAAAAAAGTGCTGGACTCTGAAACAAAAGTTTAACATAGCACTAGACATCAACAATAAAATATCTGAGAAACAAAGCCAGACCAGTGGATCTGCAAGTTCTTCCAGTGTAAAAAGATTTAATTCTGGTCTAAGGAACTATCAAATGATAGAAAACCAAAACTAAGACCATTGTAACACTCAAAACTACCCTGGCCATCCACTGGATGATTACTGTAAACCCATACCTCCACATAAACACATCTGGGTTAAATATTAATAACTAAGACTTACACAGCACTGACTAAGTGCTAAGCAGGTTTTAAGTGTTTTATACACATTCACTTACTTAATCTTCACAATAATTCTACAAGGAAGATGTACTGTTATTATCCCTATTTCACAGGTGAGGAAACTAAAGCCTGGGGGATTAAATAACTTGCCCAAGGTGAGCTCTAAGTAGCAGAGCTGGATTCACACGAGGCAGTCTGACTCTGCAGTCCATGCTATTAACCTCTATGAATGTACTACCTCCTGGCATTCCATGTCTCTGGGAGAACAGAGTGGCAACCTACCTGACATTTGTTCCTTCAATCTCTAGCACCAGGGACTGGATGTCATTATCGGTGATTCTTTTGATGTGGCCATTCCGTACCTACAAGGGATGAAATTAAACTGGTTAGTACTGAAATATCGACAAATAACTCTGTTAAGATTTTGAAGGCTGAATGGGACTATTTAAAGCAGCGGTCTCCAACCTCTTTGGCACCAGGGACCGGTTGTGTGGAAGACAATTTTTCCACGGACCGGGGTTGGGGGTGGGGTGGGATATGGTGGTTCAGGCGATAATGCCAGCGATGCAGAGCAGCAGATGAAGCTACCCCCGGCTCGCCCGCCGCTTACCTCCTGCTGTGCGGCCCGGTTCCAAACAGGCAGCGGACCAGTACCGGTCCACGGCCCAGGGGTTGGACACCCCTGATTTAAAGAAAACCACAGTAGCCCAAAGGGCATAACACAGAAGCTTGTGACACGATATGTGAAAGTAAGCCATGCTATTACCTCTATACAGGGCCCAATCAACCACCACAGGAGTTGCAGGCAATTTGGCAATCTATAAATCAGGACAAATTTCTTCCCAAAGAAATCAACTCAATTTAGATCCAGCTAACGTTTACCAAGCATCTACTATACACTAGGAACATTCCTAACAACAACGAGCTCAGTCCTAACAACAACAACAAAAATCACAAGGTCGTTGGTGTTGCTTCCACTTTACAGACGTGGACACTGACACTCAGGGAGTGCAGACGACAGACCCTAAGTAAGAGGGGCAGGATTAACGCCAGGCTTTCCACTGCCCTACAATGCCTCACATAGTTCTCTGGCCAGAAAGGTCAAGGGCTGAGTGTCACTGAGAGGGAGGGTAGCAACCAAAAACCGAACGTATTACTACCCCAGGTTTACTCCTACTTCATGCTTCCTTATCTTCTTTTCCCTAAGTTTCTACTTTTTCAAGTATGAATTCGAGTTCCATCTGTGCCGCACACAGAAGCCTTCTTTAGCATTTTCAGCCTACACTGACCTCTCTTCTCTCTGATTCATTTTTCTTGCTTATGTAGCCTAGACTACATAATTTAGCACTTCATCCTACATTGTTTTGCATTGTTTGCTGCATATGTAGGGGGAATATGATGGAGAGGAATCAATATTCGATACGGATTCCTCCTCTCGAAACATATTTAGGAAAGCACAACTATCTTCAAGCATTACATCCAAGCACCTTATATGGACAGAGCAGAGACATGCAAAGGCACTTCTGAGACAGGGCTGGACTGTTAGGGCTGAATGTATTAACACATGAAAAAGATCAACCAGGTTTAGAACCTGATGCATCAGAATGACAAGCATGTCGTCTTTTACTAGGTATAGTGAAAACGGCTGCCTGTGCTGTCATATTCAACAACTCATCATGTGGCTTTCCATGAGACTTGCATATGGGGAGAGAATACAGCGTTGAGTCTGATAGCTGTATTGTTCAACACAATTATTAATAACATGGCATTCTGTCTTTAGACATCAGTCTCTGCGTGCTCTGTTCCTGTTAATTTGATCCACTTGTGGTGTTCATGGTATTCCCCAGGTAACATCTGATATCACTGCCCATCTTTTTCTGCCAGATGCAACTGAGTCTTGTCTCCTCAAAAAAGTATAAGCTGAAGGGTAAGGACCAAGTATTAAACATCATTTATATGTTCTATAGTGCTTAGTACTCTGCTAGGCATAAACTAAGCATTGAAATATTTGCTGACTTCTGGAATTTGTCATCCTAAGAGTTGGCACATATGAAGAGATTCAAGGAGGATTTTTCAAAAATTCCTGGATAACATATCCACCATGGGCTATTATGGGAAGCCAGAGATCCTAAGGTATATCACAACGCTAGTGAGGTTACCAGCATAAAGAATGCCTTCCCACAAATCATCCTTTGGTACCCATTGTCAGAGACAGAATGCTGAGTGGATGGGCCCCAGATCTCTGCCAGTGTAGCATTTCTGGATTCTCAAGTCACAAACATCACATTGAAGTGCTTCTCAAACAAAGCTGGCGACATCCAATGCCCTCCTGCTTTGAATTCTGGGCCTCTTTCCAAGGGAGATTAAAAGCACGAAGACTTGGATCACAAAGACTTGTAGCACATGCCAACACTGCCCACCTCATTCCCCATATAAATGCTCCCAAAGTGGCAATATTCCTCCTCTATTTGCTAGCCCACAGCTGCTGTGGAAAATCAGGCAGACTTCTCGGTAAAGGAGGAATTCATCAAGAAATTTTTCCATATAATACGTTGCAGGCACACTGATAAGAGCTGACAGTATCCCAACAAGATGCAAATACTAATTTTATAACATACCACTAATTATTCTCTATAACTTCATTCTTTCTTAAAAAGGTACCGAATGCAACAAACCAAACAGATGGTTAAATTGAAAGGATTAAGTAATTAGGGTCCAAAGACTACTATTGCTAAAAGGCAACACGTTGCAATTTAGCCAACATTGTAAGTGGGACCTCAGATCTTACATCCTGGAAGGTCTCTCTGACTACAGTCACGGGAAGCCTCCCTCAGCTCCAGAAAACCCAGCCAGATTTCACAGGGAGGAAATGTTAGGACGTTTGCCTTCTGCCCATCTCAAAGTTTATAGCACTCCAGTAAATGTGACTACTCAGGTCTTTACAGAAGAAAACAATGCCTTACACTGCACACAGAAGCCAACAGACTAAAAGCCAAAACAGACTTTGTGTATTCTTACACTTCTGTCCCAGGGGCAAACTAACTTTCAGTTGGACTGTCAGTAACTTAAGAGAAATTCCTTTCACAACACATAAACTACCACACGCACAAACTTAATTCTTACAAAATTAATTAACATAGCCCGTAAAACACGAGAACCCAGAGGGGGAAAAGGCAGCTTTTTCGAAGGAATGCCCAACAGTCTCTCTAGAGTTTTAACCTGCTTAGTGGCGAGAACAGTCTAAATAGAGCTTTGCCCAAGGAGAAAGTTCAGTCCTCAAAGAAGAAAAGTATTCTCATACCACAAGCTGCCAGAGCTTTAAAATCAAATTAAGGTGATTTCTTAGTGAATTATGATTTTTCTTCTTTATTAAGTTCAAAGGGCTGTAAATACAAATTCACTGGAAGAAGAGTGGAGTGGGGCCAGGGGTGCAATTAACCAGAGATATGGGTGGGAAACGTCCCCAAACTTCTCTCTGGGCTCTAAAACTACAATCAAAGGAGAAAGAGAGGTGGACAATTTGGGGCAAGGCCTCCCAACCACTCTGGCAATCTGGCTGTCACTGCCTTAAGTTGTAAAGGTCTTCCAGGAAGCAAGCCCCTCCCCAGTCCAGCTTCTGACAAACATGTATAACAAGACACATGGACTCAGAAAGTATCAACTTCCTTTCCTTAGCTTCTTCCAGTTCAGAGGCCACTAGGCAGGCCTGGCTTTGAAATGAAGATAAAAAGAACTGGTCAGCATTTATTGCACATGGTGGAAGTAGGTTTTATTTTACTTCCCTCTCTAAATTAGAAAGTGCCTATTGTTTTTGACTTGCTAATTTTTTTATTTCATGACACATTCCTGTAGTGTGGCCTATGAGTGTTTTATTCCTCCAAAATAATGATAATAAATAAAGCCAATCTTACATTTTTTAATTTCATGATCTCCTCCCCTCCCCCACCCCCCGGCCCCAACTATGAGGTGGAGGTACTTTAGAAGCTTCAGAACCCAGGCTACTGGCAATTAACAATCAGAATGGTTCTCAGCCTCTGCAGGCACCAAGAAGGGAATCTTCAAGCCCTTTTTTGCAATCACTCTCCCAGGCTTTCCATGGTTGCTGGGACAACTAATAAAGAACACTGAATTTTTTTTTCCCCCAATGTAAGCCCCAGGGAGGAGAGTCAAAGCTGAGGGGGGAAAATACTACTGGGATAGGGAGGAAGCTGGCCAATGCTCTATATTTCGTCAAGTGCTTTAAAAATAACGAGTTGTATCCGTTCCCTACTCCCACCTTTCTTTTTTGTGGCTCCACCCACTTATCCTGGCAGACAGCTGAGCCCTCAGCCATCTGGCATCCTAGTCTTAATGACACGTTCCAATTTACATTAAGCCTTTAGAGCTGTCCATTTCAGCAGGAAAGTTTCTGCCCTGAGCTAGGGGCTGGGCTCTAAGTCAGAAAACAGGCAGAGGGAGACCTCTGTGGGGAGAGCTGGGCATAGCTCTGTCTCAAGCCCTGGGCCTTGTAGGCTCCAGTGGGTTAAAGGCTTCTCTTCCTTTGCGGCACGTAACAGGGACTATCCAAACAGCAGACAGACAACTTTGGACATTTACAAACAACCCTTTAGTTAAAGTAAGGACAATTATATGTATTGCTAACCAGTCTCTTCCTAAGAATGCCTTGAAAGGGCAAGTGTAACTAAAACCCAGGCCTTTGCCCAATTATAGTAAAAGCTATTTTTTGGAAAAATGAATAACATCCTCAGATTGACCCAGGGATAATCTGAAAAAAATAGTTTTAGTACTTTCATGTCCAAATGCTCTCAATTCTACTACTAGAAATTTAACATGTACCAACAAGGTTTGCTAATTAAAAGTTAGGGTGTGGGAACTTTTTTTCTGGAGAGAGACTGTTCATTTTTAAAATTAGGAACTGGGAATGGGAATCTAATATTTTCCAGCAACAGCCACAAAAACTCTGGTTCTAATATTTCATTTGGGAATGGGGAGGATCAGCAGCAGAGAAAGACAAGGTGAGCAGAAAGAAAGAGAAGCTTGTATGAGTTAACAATCTCATGTAGTAGATTTTTAGGGTATTACCAGTAAAGTCTGAAAGTTACATGTTTTACACAGGCATAAGTGGGAAAAGAACCTCCTGGTATTTTCTTTACAAACCGGAAGTAATGTTTACATTAAACATAAAAAAGTCCTTTAATAATGTAGTATTTGCTGATTCCAGAAGTTAAGGGAGCATTAAGAAATCCCTAATTTCTGCTAAACTCTTGGTTTGAAAAATTACAAAGGTCTCTATCAGGAAGCTTACCGTCCAGCCAGGAATACAGATCTTGAGAAGCTAATTTCAAGTATGATGAGAAGGAAGTAGAGGTTCTATAAGTGGATATAAATTAACTTAACCTGAGGAGGTACCTTTGAGCTGAGACCTAGAGGCTAATGAAGAGGGGTAGGAGTGGGTCCCAGGAGAGGGGCCGGCAAGTACAAAAGCCTAAAGCAGGAGAGAACAGACTTCTTTCAGTTCAGTAGGAGGTCAATACTAGAAGGGGGATCCTGTGCGACGTCAGCCTGGAGAACTAGTTAAGCAGGTACCAGACCACAGTCTGTGTGGCCTTAGAGCCATGTTAAAGTTTTGGATTGGGAAAGCCATGGTACACTGACTAAATTATTCTCATTTCAGAAGTCTGGAGTTACTGTACTTCCTATTCCTAGGCATCTGAATATTGGGCTCAGTTATAAATTTTTCACTTACTTTTGAGCAAATGCCTCAGTTCCCTGCCCTATTTAATAATGTGTGCCATAACTGTTGCTAAGCATTTATATACATCTTCATTTAATCTCCATAACCATGAGAAGGAGGTGGATTACAAGATGAGAGAACTGCGTAGTTGAGTACTTGCCCAAGGTTACACAGCACAGGACATATGACAGAGCCAGGACGCAAATCCAAGGTGTCTGACCACACTCTGGCACTGGAGTTTCAAGGTAAGATACTATTCTTCCCCCTAAGGAACCTGTAGTCTAGTGGGAGATATACAATAAATAGGCAACTGCCATTCAGCGTGATATAGAGCGCCACAGGAGCACACAGGAGACATAAACATTATTTCATTGGGAACTTAAGTTAAGCTGAGATTTGAAGGATGAGATGGGGGAGGGGCTGAGAACTTCAGAGTGTCAGATAAATGCAGGTATTGCAAATGCAGCCACACCCCCAAAATGAATTTGCAAATTAACTGTTATTATGAATATGGCATTCACTCCTCATATTCATAAGGAGACACAGAGCATAAATGAAGCCAAACCTAAGTTTTCAAAGACTGCTCTTCACTGTAAACAAATAACAGAAATTCTCTCTCCATAAACTCAGGAAGGAGAATAGTAAAGTTTTGTGAAATCAAAATATGTAACAACTAAAAACAGGCACTTATAGCCAATATGTACCTACTAGCAGAGGGCAGGGTCATTTCTAGATAAATATGGACAGTCCTTCCCTCCCTCCATCAAACTTTGCCCTTATTACAACTTTGCCTTATTCAGAATCATGGGAGTGGGGAAAATGTCTTCTCTTCCCTAACTTTGTATCTCCCCAAATCTATACAATGCCTGTCACTTTGCTGTTGCTCAATAAATCTTTGATAAGAATATCAGTTCCCAGTGTTTCCCCTTCTGGACTGGATTCCCAACACTTTCTGAGGACTTTATAATACAGCTGAGTAAAGGAACACATACACCAAAGCCTATGGATCTGGCCCCAAACTTTCCTTTTTTCCTCCCTTTCCTTCTCTTGCCTCAAGGGGGAAAAGTTCACAGATAAACACTTTTCAATCTAGTCTAAATAAGAAGAGTAGAAACATATAATTTATTTTTACTATTATGAGAATTTTGCTTAAAATGAATGTTCCTCTAAAGGTTTTCTTTGCCAAAATGTCTGCTTAATTTACTCCATGTAACCTTGCCAGTCGATCTTCTAACAATGTTTTCACACAGGTTTATGTTATTAGGGTACCATCCGACCTCTAGTGGCGTTGTTAAGGGACACAGTGCACCATGGTTACTTTGCTTTTATATTCCATGTGCAAACATGTTGACTACTCAAAAAGCTGCATTTGAAAAATAAAACACACTACAAAAGATCAAGCCCAGAAGGGTTAAAATGGGGCAACTCTGATAAAAGTTTCACCTGATAGAAATGCTGAGGCCTCTCTACCACTGGAATTCTTTGTGTTGGTAAGTTCTCTGACCTGCTCTGAAAACCTCTCCTCCTAGATCAAGCCCCATTCTCTATATCAATTGCCTCATATTGACACTTCGGTTACAATCCCAAGTTCAACTGGCATACAATCCACTCTCTCCTTGCCTTTGGACAGTCCAAAATTAAGTCAAGCCACAGCTGAGAAGCCATCATCTTTACAAAGTTCCCAGGTACACTCATTCCGGGTTCTCTTTGTAGAGGTACAATTTCGGAGTTTAAAGTGTTTTTTATTCCAATGTAAACAAAACCATGGAACTGAAAAACTCAGTAAAATGTAGGAAAACAGTTAAGGAACTGCTCTCTTGGGTAATAAGTAACTCTTGGCATTAGCTCTAGTTTGTGGACAGAATCACTGTGAAAGAGGAGAGCTGGTCAGATTTCTCACACATGCATAAGGCCAAACTCATTACATTCAGATCTTTCAATTATCTTATAAAAATGACATTGTGAACACACCATCCCCAAAGCTGCTCTCAGAAAGCAGAATTCCCTAGTGGCAACAGGCAGAAGGCTGTCCATGTTCTCTCCTAATCTCTATGTGGCCCCAAACCTTCATCTGTGGATAAGGGAAGACAGGGAATTGTTCTGAGATGATATCCAAAATTCTTGGCCTCATTACCAATGAACTGCTTATTTAGATTATCCTACATTCTTCTCTATAAAAACAGCATTCAACATACCACCTCTCTCCATTGTCCCCGAAGGAGTGCAGTACTAAGGTTATACCCTAAATCACCTGTCTTCCAATGTACAGTGCTTTATATTAACTTATATTCAAAAAAGGTACGGATGACTGGGAATTTGCATGAGAAAGGAAATATCAAAGTAATTAAATGCAGACCAACTCACAGATTGCTAGGCACACATGCCCCCAATCAACATCTCCAAAAAGTGGACAGGGTCACCATCTCCCAGAGTCAGTGAAAGTTATCAGCTAGTGGATGCCTGAATAAAGATGATGAGGCTTGTACTTGGCGTTCAGCTTGTTAACCCACACAACACTTTATCACCATTTTGCAAACTCTCTGATGGAGATCAGCCACTGAAGGCAGAGTACAGACCCCAAGTCACAGTGAGTGTGGAGCAGGTGCCAAAGGCCACCGAATTCCGGCTTGGCTGGGATCAGTGGGAGGAAGGGAGCAAATGAATGAAACCCAAACATAACTGAGTTCTGGCTGTGCCTCTATAAGGGGGCCTGGAACAAAGGCTCTGTGTCTAGTGCCCAGCACAGTGCCTGGTACAACACAGGATATCAGTAAATATTTGTGAAATCAGTGAACAGCGGTTCCTTTCATCTGCGCGTTCCATTCCACAGCGGTTCCTTTCATCTGCGCGTTCCCGAAGCAACCTCACGTGAGTTTACGCTTTTCATGCCGTGAGACGTGCACTATCGACCCCACCATATAGATGCGGAAACCGAGGCTGAGGAACCGACTGGCCCAGTCAAGTCTGCCGCGAGGGGCAACTGTCCTAACCACACTACTGCCGCAGGACACTTAAACCCCAGGCACGCCCACCCCACAAGGCAGCCCCCGCGGCTTACACGACGCCCCCACCTCGCGCCTCAGTCACGCCAGGCTGGGGACGGGAGACAGCAGAGACCGCCCGGCCTCCCCCAGGCGCCAGTTCGACACAACTACCCGCTACCCCGGGCCCAGCCCCGGGCCCCCGCCCCGCCGCCGCCCCCAGCTCCTGACCTTTTTGTCCCAGATTTGCAGGGGCTTGCTGCCAATGCTGTAGAGGATAGAAAGGAAGCCGCTCTGGAACGTGTTCTTGAACATCTCGCCCGCGGCCTTCCCCTCAGCCGCGCCGAAGACGACCTAAATATTGGCACCAAGTGGCGAAGGGAAAACAGGGGGCTGGCCCTAGTCCGAAGAAAGGACGCTGCGCTCCTGACCTCTCGATCGGTAGCCACAGACAGCTGGACTTGGACACGCGACGCAGCGTCCGTGAACTTCCGCTCCCATAAAAACTAAGCCACCTCAACACGGAAACCACAGCAACTGCCGTCCACACCGTTCTCCCCTCCTTAAATAGAGGCGGTGGCCGCCCGCCGCCTGCGATGGATCCCTCCGCCCCCTGAGGGCGCTGAGCCCAATCCTGCCACAGGGCTCACAGACTTCCTGTTCCTTCCGCTTAAGCCCCGCCCTAGTTCCGCCTCCTCGTGAAAAGAACTCCTTTGCCAAGGGACTATTTTTCCATCGTTGTCCCATAGCTGGATTATAGAATATGTCGTTAGAAGCTACGTAGTGTCATGGAAACCTGGCGGGGGTGGGGTCAAAGCGCGTGAAGGCCAGGCCCCGCCCCCTAAGGGGCTAGGAGGAGTTACAAAGGCAAAAGAAAAGTGAGGAAAGGCACGGAAGGTGGCTCGGATAAGCTTACCTGGTGTCCTGAGAATGACAAATAAATACTTGTTGGCCGAGTACTGGATAAGTTTAAAGCAGCTAACCAGTATTGCGCACTAACTGTGCTAAATGCCTTATAGGCATCTGCTTTAATTATTGACAGGATCGTTATGAATACTCCACATAACTTGTGGGATGAAGTCAAAGCAATACTTGGAGGAAAATTTATCGCCTTAAATGCATGATTAGAAAACAAGGCCTGAACATTAGGATAAAAGCAGAAATTAATGCAATTAAAATAAAGTTGAGGGCTTCTCTGGTGGCGCAGTGGTTGAGAGTCCGCCTGCTGATGCAGGGGACACAGGTTCGTGCCCCGGTCCGGGAAGATCCCACATGCCGCGGAGCGGCTGGGCCTGTGAGCCATGGACGCCGAGCCTGCGCGTCCGGAGCCTGTGCTCCGCAACGGGAGAGGCCACAACAGTGAGAGGCCAGCGTACTGCAAAAAAAAAAAAGTTGAGTTGGTTGAGTTGGATCAACAGCTGGTTTTTTTAAAAAATCAATTCTTAGAATTTTTTAATAAATTTATTTTTATTTTTGGCTGAGTTGGGTCTTCATTGCTTCTCACGGGCTTTCTCTAGTTGCGGCAAGCAGGGGCTAATCTTCTTCGTCCCGGTGCACGGACTTCTGCTTGTGGTGGCTTCTCCTGTTGTGGAGCACAGGCTGTAGGCTCACAGGCTCACTAGCTGTGGCACATGGGCTCAGTAGTTGTGGCTCATAGGCTCTAGAGCGCAGGCCCAGTAGTTGTGGCACACAGTCTTAGTTGCTCCGTGGCAATGTGGGATCTTCCCAGACCAGGGCTCGAACCCATGTCTCCTGCACTGGCAGGCAGATTCTTAACCACTGCGCCACCAGGGAAGCCCTAGAACATTTTTTAAAAGACATAAAATAAGCTATGGTATTTCAAGTGTGGAAGAAATCCCAAATGTTGGAAACCAGTCACTCACTGAGCACTTACCTGGATATTACTCTGTGTTCAGGCCTGTGTTGGGTATTGTGGCTGACAGAAAAGGAGTTTGCAGCTAACTTCACTGTAACAACTAATGTCATCATTGTAATAACTAATAATTCCTAACATCAATTGAGCATTTATTTTGTGTCAGGCATATAATAGAGTGCCTTAGCCTTTATTAAATCATTTAATCCTCATGGCAATGCCGTGAACAGGCCAACCAGAATTTCCAGACAGAAGGAAAAATATGGATCTTATTACAGCAGAAAGTCAAAAATGTTTATACAAAGCTGTTATTTTTGGATGATTTCTGAGGACTCTGTATAATTCAGGTGAGTGAACAATTTATCCCTTAAGGTTATTAAATTTTTCAAAATATCCTAGGGGGAAACACAATTACTGTACATTAGATTTTCATGTGCACCTGAGTCCATTGCAGGATTTTTTAATTCTGCTCTCTTGAACGCAGACAACACCAAATGCTGGTTAGAATGTGGAACAACAGGAACAGGAATTCATTGCTGGTGGGAATGCAAATTGTACAGTCACTTTGGAAGACAGCTTGGAGATTTATTACAAAACTAAATATACTCTTGTAGGATTCAGCAATGCCACTCCTTGGTATTTACCCAAAGGAGTTGAAAACTTAGTCCATATCAACACCAGTACACAGATGTTTATAGCAGATTTAGTCAAAGTTGCCAAAACTTGTAAGTGACCAAGACATCCTTCAGTAGGTGAACAGCTAAATAAACTGGTACACCCAGACAGTGGAATATTATTCAGCACTAAAAAAGAAAATGAGCCATCGAGCCATGAAAAGACATGGAGGAAACTTAAATGCATGTTACTAAGTGAGAGAAGCCAATATAAAAAGGCTACATACTGTATGATTTCTACTATATGACATTCTAGAAAAGGCATGGAGTCAATAAAAAGATCAGTGCTTTCCAGGGGTAGGGCGGTGGGGAACGATGAATAGAGCACAGAGGATTTTTAGGGCAGTGAAAACATTCTGTATGATACCATAATGATGGATACATGTCACTATACATTTGTCCAAATCCATGGAATGTAAAACACAAAGAGTGAACTCTAATATAAACTATGGACTTTGGGTGATTATTATGTGTCAGTGTAGGCTCATTAATTGTAACAAATGTACCACTCTAGTGGGGGATGTTGATAATGGGGGCCATGCATGTGTGAGGGCAGGAAATATATAGAAAATGTGTACCTTCCCCTCAATTTTACTGTGAACCTAAAACTGCTCCAAAAATAAGGTCTTAATTTAAAAACAACAACCTTAGAAATATCTTCAAGACCTTGAGGTAGACAAAGATTTCTTAAATAGGACACAAAATGTACTAACATAAAAGAAAATATTGATAAATTGAATATCATTAAAATTTTAAAAGTCTGTTAATTAAAAGACAAGATTAAGAAAGTGAAAAGGCATACCACAATCTGGGAGGATGAATGTGCAATACATACACCAGACAAAAAAAAATCTTTTATCCAGAATATATAAAGAACTCCCACAAATTAATAAGAAAAAGACAGAAAACCCAATTTTGAAAAACAAAAGAAAATATTCAAATGACCAATAAGCATATGGAAAGATGCTCACCATATCTTGTCATCAGGAAAATGCAAATTTAAATCATGAGACACTGCTGTAGATCAACCAGAATGGCTAAAATTAAAAGGACTGACAATACCCGCTGATAGGGAGGATGTGGAGCAACTGGAACATTCATACCTTTTTTAAAAAAAATAAATTTAATTAATTAATTAATTTATTTCTGGCTGTGTTGGGTCTTTGTTGCTGCACGTGGGCTTCCTCTGGTTAGCAGGGGCTCTAGGTACGCGGACTTCAATTGTTGTGGCATAAAGTCTCAGTAGTTGTGGTGTGTAGGCTCAGTAGTTGTGGTGCATGGGCTTAGTCGCTCAGTGGCATGTGGTATCTTCCCGGACCAGGGATCGAACCCGTGTCCCCTGCATTGGCAGGTGGATCCTCAACCACTGCACCACCAGGGAAGCCAACATTCATACCTTCTTGATGGAAGTATAAACTGGTTCAGCCACTTTGGAAAACTATTTGATAATGTCTACTGAATCTAGACATATATATACTCTGTGACTGAGAAATTCTAATGCTGGGTACCAAACAGAAATGCTTGCTTATGTCCATAAAAGACATGTACAGAAATGTTCTTAGCAATGTCATTTATAATAGCCCTAAACTAGAAACAACTCAATCATCAACAGTAGATGGGGACTTTCCGGGTGGTGCAGCGGTTAAGAATCCACCTGCCAATGCAGGGGACACGGGTTTGACCCCTGGTCTGGGAAGATCCCACATGCTGCAGAGCAACTAAGCCCGTGCGCCACAACTACTGAGCCTGCGCTCTACAGCCCGCGAGCCACAACTACTGAAGCCTGCGCACTCTAGGGCCCGCGTGCTGCAACTACTGAGCCTGCGTGCTGCAACTACAGAAGCCTGAGCGCCTAGAGCCCATGCTCCGCAACAAGAGAAGCCACCGCACCGCAACGAAGAATAGCCCCTGCATGACACAACTAGAGAAAGCCCGCGCGCAAAGACTCAACGCAGCCAAAAAAAAAAGAAGGGGTTTAGTTTGTTAACCTGCAGTTTGGGTAGAACCATTGCAGAAGCAGCAAGAAATTCTGTGCCCGGCCCAGAATCTCTGACCATGAACGAATCACAGTCCTGAGTTTAGATAGAATATCTCACCTTGGTGGGATAAGTGTCAGAATACACACAGAGACTATGGGAAGTGAATCAAATTAATGATATCAGTAATCCATGTCAAACAGAGGAATAAGTTTGATTATTGTGATATTTTGTTATTTAAGATATTTGAAATAGTTAACTCATTTAGAGGATTAGAGGATATGGTACTTTGAATTTAATTTGAAATGCTTAAAGGAATTTGAAATTAGGTCTGCAATTTTAGTTTTAAAATGCTAAAAAAATTTAACTAAGTTTGTAAACAACGTTTGATTGATTAAATCTATGAGTTTAGACTTCGAATGTTAGTATTTGAATGTTTAGGAAGATTTCAGCAGATTTTAGGCCTTTCACATTAGCTATTGGAAGTGTTTGTGCAAATCAGACCGATTAAATACGTGGTTTACTCTGAAATTGTCTAAGGAAACTAGATTAAGTATGTGAGCAGTGTTTATGGTTAAACCCATTAAGTTTTGAATTAATTGAGCATCGAAGATTAACCAAAATAAATGTTCAAATTTACATACAAAACCAACCAGTTTGTAGCTATAACAAGATTTGTAGCCACAAGACAAAATAGATTTTTAAACATACAGCTTTTTCCTTTTTTTTATATAAATAAATTTATTTATTTATTCATTTATGGCTGCTTTGGGTCTTCGTTGCTGCGTGCAGGCTTTCTCTAGTTGCAGTGAGCGGGGGCTACTCTTTGTTGCGGTGCATGGGTTTCTCAATGCGGTAGCTTCTCGTTGCAGAGCACGGGCTCTAGGCACACGGGCCAAGTAGTTGTGGCTCAAGGGCTTAGTTGCTCCACGGCATGTGGGATCTTCCTGGACCAGTGCTCGAAGCCGTGTCCCCTGCATTGGCAGGCAGATTCTTAACCACTGTGCCACCAGGGAAA